ACCTCTCTGTCTGTCACCTGACGTACTGCGCCACATCTCACCCCTCTGTCTGTCACCTGACGTACTGTGCCACGTCTCACCCCTCTGTCTGTCACCTGACGTACTGCGCCACGTCTCACCCCTCTGTCTGTCACCTGACGTACTGCGCCACGTCTCACCTCTCTGTCTGTCATCTGACGTACTTTGCCACGTGTCACCCCTCTGTCTGTCATCTGACATGGCCTGTGCCGTCCCACCTGACCCACCAGACGTCTCCTCACACAAACTGTCCTCCGACAGCTCCCCCTCAGACTCGTGCTCAGAACACGCGTCAAAAGGAATACAGTGATCACCTCCGATACCAGTCTGGAGAGAACCATGAGGAATGCTTTGAAGATCTCCGATACCAGTCTGGAGAGAACCATGAGGAATGCTTTGAAGATCTCCGATACCAGTCTGGAGAGAATCGTAAGGAATGCTGTGATCACCTCCGATACCAGGTTGAAAAGAATCGTAAGGAATGCTTTGAACATCTCCGATACTAGGCAGTAGAGAATCGTAAGGAATGCTTTGATGATCTCCGATACCAGGCTGGATGGAATCGTAAGGAATGCTTTGAACATCTCCGATACTAGGCAGTAGAGAATCGTAAGGAATGCTTTGATGATCTCCGATACCAGGCTGGATGGAATCGTAAGGAATGCTTTGAACATCTCCGATACTAGGCAGTAGAGAATCGTAAGGAATGCTGTGATCATCCCCGATAGCAGGTTGAAAAGAATCGTAAGGAATGCTGTGATTATCCCCGATACCAGTCTGGAGAGAATCGTAAGGAACGGTGTGATCATCCCGCAGACTCCACACTGAACCTTGACCCCCGCCGTGGCTGTCCAGGCTAGGATTGGGAGAGTCGAAAGTGACGCCCTGGTCTCGCAGTCTCCTCGAGGGTTCCTGGCCACTGCCTTGGCTGTCCACGTAGGGCTGGGGAAAGTCACAGGGGTCACAGGGGTCGTGGGGGTCGTGAGGGTCATGGGGGTCATGGGGGTCGCAGGGGTCGTGGGGGACGTCTGGGTAGCGGGGCCGGTCCGACCAGGTCCACCTGGGGCCCCGGTCAGAACAAGGATTGCCCGCGCCGGGGTGGGGGGAGTCGAAAGGAATGCTATGAGAGTCTTGTGGAGCCCCGGGGGGTCGGCCAGTCGTGGGGTCACCGTAACTCGTACCGGGCTGGGGGGTATGGTGGAGAATACTTGGGTCTACAATACCGGGCTGGGGGGTATGGTGGAGAATACTTGGGTCTACAATACCGGGCTGGGGGGTATGGTGGAGAATACTTGGGTCTACGATACCGGGCCGGGGGGTATGGTTGAGAATACTTGGGTCTACAATACCGGGCCGGGGGGTATCGTGGGGAGCACTGGGATCTACGATACCGGGCTGGAGGGAACCATCCGGCGCGTCCCAATCTTGCAGGCTCCAACAGAGACCACTATCGGAGCCGCCATGACTGTCCAGGTCCCGGCGGGGGGCAGAGTCAGGGATACTGAGGTCTTTATCTTGCAGACTCAAAGAAGAGCCCAACAAGGAGTCGCAATCTCCGAGTGAGTCGAAACATCCAGACTCAGGGGACACAAGTGTGGAGCCCTGGCACAGCCACCCCGGCCCAGGGGACATTGTGTGGTGTGTCATGTCTGAGCCAGGTGACATTGTGTGGTGTGTCATGTCTGAGCCAGGTGACATTGTGTGGTGTGTCATTGTGTGGTGTGTCATGTCTGAGCCAGGTGACATTGTGTGGTGTGTCATTGTGTGGTGTGTCATGTCTGAGCCAGGTGACATTGTGTGGTGTGTCATTGTGTGGTGTGTCATGTCTGATCCAGGTGACATTGTGTGGTGTGTCATTGTGTGGTGTGTCACGTCTGATCCAGGTGACATTGTGTGGTGTGTCATTGTGTGGTGTGTCATGTCTGATCCAGGTGACATTGTGTGGTGTGTCACGTCTGATCCAGGTGACATTGTGTGGTGTGTCACGTCTGATCCAGGTGACATTGTGTGGTGTGTCACGTCTGATCCAGGTGACATTGTGTGGTGACTTAATCCCTCACTCCGTGGCGTGTCTGAAACATCTGCCGCATCGCTTCCACAACCAGAAACCGGAACATTCTGACGAGCCTGGGACCAACTGCTCTCCTCCCCTCGCACAAACTCACGGCTTACATCCTGGCTCCGTGCAGTACCTGACTGGACTGCCACACCGCTCCCACCACGACCAGAACCCACGACATTCTCCACTGTCTGGTCCCAGCATTCCTCACCTCCACCAGAACACACGACATTCTCCACTGTCTGGTCCCAGCATTCCTCACCTCCACCAGAACCCACGACATTCTCCACTGTCTGGTCCCAGCATTCCTCACCTCCACCAGAACACACGACATTCTCCACTGTCTGGTCCCAGCATTCCTCACCTCCACCAGAACCCACGACATTCTCCACTGTCTGGTCCCAGCATTCCTCACCTCCACCA